ACTCATTATAGTATATTATTCTTAATGTAATTTAATTTTAAACCCTTATTTTAGATTTTATTTCAATATTAGTAGATCTCTCATCAATACCTTTTTAACTTAGATTTTTAAATTTAACATATTCAATTGTATAATTATTAATGTTTATTTATGTAATCTACAATATAGTAACAGTAAGAACATATTACATTTTCCTAATATTTAATATACTGTATTAATCAAACAATACTAAGTTGAGATGATTATATTAAACTTAACTAAGATCAATAAAAATAATTTTAAGAACAAACAATTTCGTGTATATTTAAGAACAAACAAACGATTTGGGAATTGAAGTTTAATGTTTGAACAAATTCGTTGACCGTTGATCAAATCAAACCACAACAACAAAGCTTTGAACCAAAACGTTCTACTTCAACCAAAACATTAGGAGAAGCATCAAGCTCTTGCCATGAACCATCTTCACTAAAGGTTTGAACCACGAACCGGACTTCCTTCACATCTGATCCAACGACTAGACCAGAAACGTAGTAAGCATCAACATGAGCCGTTCCAAGAAACACTTTCTTGCTTCTCGGTTCTTGCATAACCTTCCTCGGCCTGTAATCGCTCGAATTCAGATTCTCTGCATACACATTGTACCTTGTAAACACAGAATCTTCAGGATGCTGCTTCAATCTCCATTCTAGCTTACAACTTAAGGTCCTGGAGCCAGAGTCACCCTGTACAAGCTCTATGTTATGAGCCTCGATTATCCACGATGATGCGGAAGGAAAAAGGTTGGTTTTTTGCTCGCTTTTTATGGAGATATGCCCGAGCAATGCAGAATATTCTAGAGTGTTTGTTTCTTCTGTGAGGTCCTTTGGTTTATAGCATAAGGCAGAGATCTCAGTTAGTGTGTGTCCATCTAGAACAAGGCTTGTTTCGTGCACTGTCCAATCCGATGTGGTCTGTGTTGTTGTGAGAAGACATGGCAGGAACGTGTCGCGGAATCTGTGAACGGACTCATTTGGTGCCATAAGTAAGGACTTTGTCTCCTGTGAAGGTGATGTAAAACGGAGCAAAATGCCTAACTCAGATCTTCCTTCTAGTTTCACCTGCACCAGTCCAAACACTTACTTTGTAAACATGAAGAAGAGCTTAAAATATTTAACGTTTTATCGAAATGTGACGCATCCGTGACTTACAGAGTAGGAGATTGAGATGGGGGAAGCAGAGAGCTGAAGCTGAGGTTTGAAGAGTCTTGCTTCAAAATGTGCATCTCTCTTTAGTTTTCCTTTGAAACTAACGTTCCCTCCTCCGTTATAAGATGCTTCTCGACCACTACCATATTCGTGTGCTTTTATTGTTAGATGTCGAAATTTTATTTCTTCTATAGGCTTCATATATGCAAGGGCTAGTGTTAGGGTCAGAACTTACTCAACAGTGACATGCATAAGCTCTGAGTTGTTTCCCTCATTGAATTCTAAGAGTGGCTGTCACAAAGAACACAACAAAACGCAAGATTAGATAAAGAATATGTCGTTCTTGCAATCGAATGGTAAACAAGGAGTGACAGTTTAACCTGCAGACTTTGGCATGAAATGTTGTACCAAGGAGCGTCTAACAATTTCCGACCTCCGAGAGAAATATGAGAACCAAGGCCCTATATAACAAACAAGAGAAGATAAATTAAAAGCTTAGCAAGAACATAGAATAACCACAGTCATTTGCATCTATTCACTAGGAACAGAGTCTTGAGTTTCACTTCACCTGATTGAAATCTGAGTAGAAAGGTAGGACTTGTGGATATTTCTGAACAATTCCCCATGACTTCTCAACAAGTGACCACCATCTAAGAAAAACAGAACGCATGATAATAAGATCACACGGATCCTTTTTACCATCACATGGACAAACAAGTGATTTTTTACTTATTTTGCGCCGTATGATAATCGGGTGGCTGCTGGGTCTCGTATACCCATCCAGGAGCAAATATAGCAGCTGACACATCGTTCTTCTTCAGCAAATCAAGGGCAACATTTGCCTACCATCATGTAAAAGAATTGAACAGAGAAAACAAAAAACTTTAGATGCAGCTTGAACATGACAAAGGAAAGCAAAATATGAATGAGAAGTGAGATACATACAGTCCATTGACCACCACCGAAAGAGCCTCGACCAAACACATCTATTCCCATGTAGACATCATATTTTCTATCACCGGCGATTTCAGCTGATGCTTTCGGATAGTTCTCCTAAAAGAGATCCACTAATATCAGAATCAAATCATGAAGAGAGTGAATGAAGTGAAAAGACAAACCTTCCATGTATAGTTCATGAAGATTCCATCGCATAAATCAAAGAAAGGTTTGTTCATTTCATTCAACTGATCTTGCCAAGCAAGAAGACCCTTAACAGTAACACTATCATACCTTACCAAAACCAAACAGAAAATAGGATCAGTACAGTTTTAGAAAGAGAACAAACGAAAAAGAAAGACTTTTCAACACTCACCATATAACTAAACCTCCAGGTACAGATGAATGAATTGCTTCTGTTAAATGGCTTACAAAATCCTTCAAATTCGGAATTTGAACTTCATCTATAACATTCTCTATGTTTATCTGCCAAGTAACAGCTTCATATGATCAAATCATTCACCAAAACATGGAATTGTAAAATAATCAAAGCTATAACAAAAGAAACACTCACCAACCACCCATCAAAGCCTAGAGCAGCAGCAAGTTCTGCTAAACGCTCTGCGTACATCTTCGCAGACTCTTTCGTAGCCAATAACTCTTTGCATATAGCTTTCCCTTCGTCCCATTCAGTAATAAAAGTCCCTAATACCTTAAGATTCCAAATGAAACACAAGAAAACAAACAAAATCATTCCTTTGACAAAACCAAACATTATATTCCTCTGCACACAAACAATCAAACTCTTCATCAATTTAGAAAAAGATTCATCTACACTCAAAGTCTCTGACTTTCAAATTACACTCAGAGATCGAAACTTTGACATGTTCTGATCTAAAATCTACAATACTAACCTTGACGCCATGTCTATGAGCAGAGTTGGTCCAACAAGGAGGAGGAAGAGTGACTAAAGAGTGAGAGAAGTAGACAAAAACATCCATCAAGTACCAATTCCAGATCGCGAAACCTTTGTTGTTTCCACATCCTTGTACCCATTTGTCATCTACGTAGCCTCCTTTCATGTCATGGCAAACCAAAAGCCTCGATCTTTCCGGCAATCCACCGTTGTTGTTTCGCCGGAGAGAGACAGAGGAACGGTTAAAGGAGAAATGAAATGAATCGAAGTAAGAGCGAGACTCCAAGTCTTGAAGGGTTTTGATTGGGAATGAGATTGGTGTCGATGGTTTAGTCGGATCGAAAGGTGGAGGAAGTTGAACTAACATGGCTTCTTCGTTGGAATTAGACATCAC